ATTTTCTTATATTATTCTTATAACTATCTACTATACGTTCTCTATTACTACGTAAACTTTAGAGTTATTATAAGAGAGTATAAGATCTATATCTTACTAACTATCTAAATACTAAGAATAAACTCTATAACTATATAATAAAGAATAGACTATATATAGTTAAATATAAACTATATAGCTATAGTAACCTATCTATCTAAGAATAAATATAAGATCTTTACTACTATATTAGTATTTTATTATATTCTATTAAAAGAAATTAAAAGTAGTATAAGTAATAAATATTAGTAGTAACTTACTCTATAATTCTATTATTACTTATCTACTACGTACTTTGTTATATTACTTTCTTTTATATATAATATCTTAGTTAAACTAATTATATTTTTTTTACTCTACTTACCTCTATAACTTTAATAATATTATCTATAGATATTAAATAAGAGCTAGTACTAGTACGTAAAGTACTATATTAGAGCGCTAGTTTAAAATAAAAGAAGATTAATAGATAATTTAGATAGAATAAACTTTAAAGTACTTAGATTTACTATTTAACTATAAGTCTCTGTAAATAAATCTTATATCTAAAAGTTAAGTTTTGTTTTACCTCTATATAGTCTTTAATTATATATTATTTAGTATATCTTATATTTATCTCTAGACACTATCTTTTAGAGAGCTTAGTTTATAAAAAGGTAGCTCTTTTTCTTTTTCTAGTAATTTTACACTAATATACGCTTATACCTTTATAGTCTATAAGCTAATAATCTACTCTACTAAACCTAGAGTCTAGTAGCTAAAGCCTTACTAACTATATTATTAATTATAGAAATCTACTAATTCTATACTAATCTAATTAGTTAAACTATAGGTAAATAGATATATTCTAGTTAATATAGTAGACTCTAAACTTAATAACTTTATAGTAATAACTATATATAGCATAAAAACTAGAGCTATTAATATAGCCTAGGCTAGTACTATTTTCTATAGTAAAGAAAGCTACTAGATACTCTTATAGAATTCTCTTAATTAGTGTATATATATCTAGACTATAACTATAGATAGAACCTAAGTATACTACTAGCGTTTTCTTTACTATAGGCTTCTAGTAAAGTTTAAAGAAAAAAGAAGTAGTAAAAAGTATCTATATAATACTAGTAAAGTTATAACTCTAAAGAAAAGTTATAGCTAAGTTTTCTAGTTCTAGTATTTTACTAATATTATTAAGATTAGACTTTCTATTTAGCGCTATATTAATATAGATATATTTATACTATTTATTTCTAGAAACTTAGTTTAAGTAATTATTCTAGCTACTCTAAGTATTTAATATAGTATTAAAAAGCTAGAATAAGCGTAGAAAAAAGTAGTTACAAAGACCTAGTCTTCTAGAAATAGTTTATAGTAATTCTAGATCTTAAGTAAATTCTATACCTATTAAAATAGCTAGGTTAGAAGTAGTGTTCTAAATAGCCTTTAATTTCTACTTAGTAGAGTTAATAAAGTTATTATACTTTTTTATACTACTATTCTATAGAAATTCTAAACTCTAGATAAACTTTACTAGAAAGTATAATAGAGTAGTAGATATTACTTTAGTACTAGTAGAGATAAGTTTAAAACCTAGAAAAAAAGATATAGAACTTACGTATTATAGATAAAAGGCTTATTATTTATATAAGAAGCTTAATAGTGTTTATAACCTATAGTTAGTTAGTCTTCTACCTAAAGATAGAATATAAGTTTTTACTTTATCTACTTCTAGCTCTATTATAATTAGAGAGAATATAGAGCTTTACGTTTAATATAGTTATTATAGTAACTATAAATTTTAGTTCTAATATACCTATAATAGATTCTTTAAAACTAAAAAAAGTAGTATCTAATCTAAATACTTCTTTTATATATACTTCTATTTTAGTAGCTTTATATAAGCTATCTATAAGTAGAGAAGCTAGAAAGCTATATATCTTTATAAATACGCAATTTTCTAAGAATTAGTAAAAAAGAAAAACTTAATTTACTAGCTACTTAAAGATAGTAATATACTTATCTATATCTTAGCGTAAAAGAAATATAAGTATAATAAAGCTACTTATATCTTATAGTAAGTGTCTAGTTATTTATAGATTTTAAAAAGTATATATTCTATATCTATACTTATACCTAAACTTAAGTTAAACTTATTATAGATAGAATATAAAAGCTTTTAATACTAATTAAGCGTGTATAGTATTTGTAGTGTAAATATTCTCTAGATACTACCTCTATTAAGAATAAGTAATTAGCTTTCTACTATTAGTAGCTTAAGATAAATAGTAATCTTACTCTTAGATTAATATAAAATATACTAGAAGATCTAGTAGAAATATTCTATCTACTATCTTTTTAATCTAAATTTACTAGTGTAGAAATTATAAAGCGTGTATCTATAGCGTAAGCTATATTTAAGCTTATAGAAAAGATAGTAGAGATATAGCTAAGAGCTATAGATTATATTCTAGTTAATAGTAATATTCTAAAGATTTTTCTTATATAGTTAAACTACTATAAGTATATCTCTCTCTAGATCTAAATAAAACTAGCTAAAGATAGCCTTTAACTATATATATAAAGCTACTAGAAAGAGTTCTTATTTAGAAGGTAGTAAAGAAAAAGCTTTAAAGTAGTAAGATTAGTATAGTAAGTTAAAGACTACTAATAGTTTAAAGCCTACTAGTTACTATTAAAAGATAAAAGCTTATATATAGAATACTTATAATATATACTTAGTAGAAAACTATCTAATATAATTATAGACGCTATATACTCTAAAGTAGCTTTCTTACTTATATAATTAGTAGCGTATAGCTCTAAAAAGTTCTATAAATAGAGCTAGAGATAGTCTTCTATTTAATTATACTAGCGCGTAGTAAGAATAAAGTTAAAAGGTTAGAAGACATATTTTATAATATAGTATAATACTACCTTAAAGAAAAGGTTAAGATAGTATACTAAATAGAGTATTTTAGACCTACTTCTACTTTTTCTTACTATCTCTATACTAGAAAGTATAGTTTTCTTTAAGATAGAAAATCTTAAAGAAGATAGAATTTTATAATTATTTATTAGTAATAGTATAGGTTAAATATAGCTAAAAATTAATAGATCTAGACTAACCTTATACGTATAGATACTACTACTAATAAAAATTACCTAGAGCTTCTAACTCTATAATAAACTACTATAATACGTAAATCTTTATAGTAATTAAACGCCTTTCTTATAACTAGTAAAATTATCTAGAAAGATATAAATAATATTAATAAATAGTAGTAGTAATCTACTAACTATAGTTTCTATAAATAATTTAGTTTTACTTATAGATAACTATTCTAATAGCTACCTAACTTTATAATATAAGCTTCTAGTATTCTTTTATAGTAGCTTCTATAGGCTATAAGTATTATTAATATCTAGGCTTATAACTAGTAGTAGATATTTATTATTTAATATTAAATTATCTACTTATACTTATATAATACTACGTAATCTTAAGTAGCTATACTCTAGTAATAGTGTTTATTATATAGCTTTACTCTTATACTTACTAATTAGTAAGATAGTAGAAGAGAACTAGGCATAAGGCTTATAAAGATTAGTAGTAATCTATTATAAGCTACTTCTATACGCTAAGAACTAATTAGTTTCTATCTAGAAACTATATAGCTAGTCTAGATTAGTGCGTAGTAGTATAGGTATCTAAGGTAAATAGAGAAAAACTACTTATATATATAAACTTATCGCTATCTCTATAAGTACTTTATAAGATAAGTATATTTCTATAAAGCTTATTTTTAAGATAGTACTAGATATAATACTATATTTATTTATAGGCTAAACTCTTACTATATTCTAAAGACTTATATAAGTATAAGTAGTAAGTTTAAAAAGTATTAATACTATCTTAGAACTACCTAAATAAGAGTACTAAATCTATACTATAGTGTATTAAATACAGAACCTAACAATTATATTAGTTACTATATTTTAGATTTAGAATATAACTTATCTACTTTAGTTAATTCTTTTATATACTATAACTATTTAACTAGAGTAGATATCTCTTCTAATATATTATATACTATAGAACTTTCTCTAAAACTTAGTCTTCTAAGTACTATTAAGTTACTATACTTTTATAGAAAATTTTAGTTAGAGACTATAAAGTAAGATAAATTATAAGGTTAGAACAATTAGTAGCTTGTTAATCTCTATAGTTTAGGTAAGAGCTCTATCTTTATATCTAAAGTTAGCTACTAAACAGCACACAGACCTATCTACAAATACGCTAGTTTAGATTTATTAATTCTATAGGCGACATGCGTCTCTATATAATAGGGAGAAGTTCCTTCACATTTAATTTTACGAACGCGAGATACTATTTTCCTCTCCTTCGCCCTGCCAAGATGATGACACGCTGCACTCCCCTGATTCAGTCCGCCGAATCGAAGGCGGCGGTGAGCCCCAGACCCCGTCGCACGCAAAGCCGCACAACCCACAATGACCAAACTTGAACTCGAGCAACTGCACTGGGACGTTCGGCAACGCGCGGATCATCAGGAAAGAAGCGTGTTAATGGCGGGTGTTGTTACACTGGAGCCCACGGTGCTCGGAGGGCGGTATGTCCCATACGGACTTTCAACAGCGACAGCGCAGTGGTCGAAAATATCCACTTCGTTCTCGCGTCTAAGCAGTCTCAAGATCTGTTGATCCTAAAGCAGGAACGTAGTCACCCTAAGACGATGCAATGCGAGGCTGGCAGATACAGGCTTCCATGACTCATGTTGACAAGAAGTAGAATGGGTGACTACATAACTGCTGTGTTGAACAGAGACGCTCTCATAAAATTAGCCAGAGGTCCTCCATGCCACATGGATACGTGGTCTCTAAGCTCTTTTACATTTCACCACGCCCTTCGAAAGATCTCCGATACAATACTTAGCGTCGCCTGAGAGCTAAGCAGTGAGCTTCACTGCTCTCTTCTTCTTCGGCGATCCATTCCCGGCGTCGCATGAGTTCCTGTTCGTGTGGCCAGGATTGCAATACCAATGCCAGTTGTCATCCTCATAATTGATCGTTCCGTAATCGTCCCAGAATCCGCCAAGCTGGTTGGTATGTTGGTACGGAAGCTGATCGCAGTGACCACCAGCAATGATTGCAGTGCCACCTACGGTGTTGCTGGCTTTGGAGAGGGCTTCTGCTTCAGTATTGCCCTTACCGACTTGGCAATACGGGGAACTAAATATCGCAGTGCCGACAGCTGAGCCGTAATCCATGTTTACGGCAGCTAGCCAGAGGGCTTGGGTACCAGTCGTGGCGTAGATGGCTAGGAGGAGTGATTTGACCATGTTGGGTATGCTAGGATAGGTATCAGTACATATTGATCCCAGGCTGTCCTTTTGACTCACTTGAACAAGGCACTCGGATATGCGACAGCGATGGAGGGTAGTGGAACAACCGTATCGAATGTTGAGGACTTTGATAAGCTTGGGGACAGAGACTTAGTGGGCTTATATATGCTTTTGCATCGCCTTCTAACAGTTGTCTTACAGATATACGAGATCCCGGCAAAGGACCGATTGCATCCTGCTTCTTACGCCTCGCGTCTGATGATGCTCCATCGTAATGTTTGGTCCGATCAACTGCTCAAGCACCAGAGCAGCTCTTGTTCTCTGCCACATCAATGGGCGTCAAGCGGCCCGGTGTCACTGCCTGCATACGTTGCCTGTACACAGCCTCGTGCTGAGTTCGTTGACCGCCACTATTATACTATGACATCGCACTGTTATACCATGGCCCAAAGCGTGCAACTTAGACATGACGCGTCAGTCATGAGCCTAAGTACGTCCGTGCAGCTGTCATGGACTGGCCTGTCAGATATTAGAGCAGCTTATCCGACTGTATCCCTAAAATAGGCTGATATGATAACATTGCCTCTTGCACGACCATGACTGCCCCGGTTTTGCGGACGCTGATGTCGCAGCGGTCTTTCATCATCATGTCATTATGTGAACAAGTGGAAGCACGTAGCTTTCTTAATTCCATTGCAATTCGACCTTCTCACTTCGATTGAATTCATGAAAGTGCCATAGACGACAGCCGCTAAAGAGATGAAGAGTTTTATCTGTCACCGCCCTCGTATTTTCAATATTCACTATACACTGATACTTGCTTGAAAGGGCAGCACACTGTGTCGGTCCGGCGTACTCATATCTAGTTCATAGATCTAATGAACCCTAAGGGTTACCGCTTTTCATGTCACACCGATCATCTGCGCTAGATCCAAGAGGCGAGTTTGGTTTTGATCACCTCAGACTTTCAGGCAGATAATGCGTTCGTGTGTATTCGCATGTTTCTACCAAGAAACATTAGAGGCTTCTGATGCTAAGCTTTTCGGTGTCCTTCGCAGATATTCATGAGCTCAGCGACATCTCCATAGCATGCAGCCGTCTTTCTTCGCACGTAGATTGTGGCTGTAGTAGCAAGCTCCTCATGTTTCATCAGGAATGAAGTCACCCAATCGAAGTTGCTCGTATTCTCGAACTCGGGTCTTGTTGATCACGATCTCGGAGCGTCCGACTACTAACGTCCGGTTCGGCCCGATTTGGACAAGTGAAGGTTTGATCTACTGCAAGAAGCCGCGTGAGGCACGCTTCAACCCACAATTTTGCAGCCATGCCTCGGCACATGTGTATACGTAATGTGTTGGCAAGAAAATTATGGAAGATCGTTTATTCCTTGTGGTGATCTAACAGAAGGTTGAACCATGTACGGCATGCACTTCTAGCGCATGAATTCGGTGTCGGGGCTTCAAATAGCCCCGGCTAGGCCCAGGAAGGAAAACAGATGCGTCTCGATTGTTTGATCGTCATTGCCGCTGTATGTTTGGATGCCACTGTAGGCAAATACACAGGACGCCTAGTCTAACATCCGTTCTATCGATTTCCCGCTAGCACGGACTCTTCATTCCGTTATGAATCGAGTTAGGCTGCAGTTGCAGGACTACTATGCAGTGACCTCCGATGTTCAAGCTTCAGCTTAAGCCTCGTGTAGCTTAGTGCACCTCATATGCTCAGTTAGTGCCTACATCGATCGAGCACCAGGAGAAGGTACAGAGTATCGAGGTCACTGCGGGAATAGTCACGTCGACGTCTGCGTTGTATAAAGACAGGCTGGAGCGCTGCAGACAGAATCATCAACATTCACAAGCTTCAACAAACAGTTCCAAGCGAATCCAACATGCCATCACCTGCTTATCCCATCGCTCTTGCGGCTCTCATTGGGTCCGCGCTCGCAGACATCCACAATGTCAATCTTCCCTCGAACTTCTTCGATGGTCCACAGAGCGGTATTGGATCATGGTACCGTGCCTCTGCCGGCCAAGACTCGACAAACGGCAAGAGTTGGTGTGCGTACACGTACTATAACAGCGATCCTGTCTTTGCTGTGGTAGGTAACAACCCTTTTCAAGATCTCTGGAATTGTCACTAACGAGAACGATGCTCAGTCCCTAAAAGCGATGGGCGGCAAGACCTACAATTCGGACCCAGCGGGTTGGAAGGCAGCAACGCAAAAGTACTGTGGTCTCGAGGCGACTGTTAAGGATCCCAAAACTGGCAAGCAAATGCTTATGTACATTGGCGACGCATTTGATGATAAATATGTCCTTGTAAGTAATCTCCTCGAGTACTATTTCGCAAGATCACTTAGTAACACGGTTCATCAGTCGCCGGGGTCTATCGACATCATGATCGACGCCTTCTCGAACATCCACGGGAACCCCAACGGTAACAAGAACGACGTCATCAAGGGTGTGGAGTGGCAGCTTACAGGACGCGTCAACACGAAGTATGCTGCGGATGGCGCCGTATGGCCAACAAAAGCTGGAGCAGCACCAACGACTCCTGCTCCTACAAAGATGCAGACTTCTGCTTCACCAAAACCGTCTGCCTCTCCACCTGGTGGTGGCGAAGGTGCGAAGTGCAGTGACTCGACGAACTGTAATTCTGGCATGACATGCTTAGCACCTGATGGTGTCTGCAGCACAGCCGCTTGTAATTGGGGGTTAGATCCTCCTTCCTTTGGCTTTTGAGACTTACTAACCAAAATTTTCAGATGTACCGGATGGACCTGTAGTGCTTCGTCGCCGTGCCAGAAACCAAACACGTGTGTAAACGGCGCCTGCGCAGCTCCGACCACCGGCGCCGTAGGTGCGAAATGCAGTAATACGACAGATTGCAACTCTGGCTTGACATGTTTGAGCCCCGATGGCGTTTGCAGCAGCGCGCAGTGCAACTGGGGGTGAGCGATCTTTACGTGTGCGACGAGTCGTGGAAAACTAACTTGGATCTACAGATGCACTGGATGGACCTGTGATGCCTCGACGCCATGTCAGAAGCCGAACACTTGCGTAAGCGGCAGCTGCGCCGCAGCTTGAACGATGCTCATAACGTGATCTGGCCCACCTGGACGAACTTCGTACGATCAGGGCTGCTATATGGAGGTACCCTGCATGAATGGACATGGTCCTTTTGGAATATTGCAGAGATGGGAAGACATGGTAGAGTTGAAATAGTGGTACGTCTGGCCATTGTTTGCGGGTTGCTATTCCATTGAGAGATGCATTGAGGACATACGAATACTTAGATACATATGGAATACTACTGCCATATCTCGTTCACGACAACATGCATAGACACTCACCGCATCTTAAGCATCACGATATAAATACACATCAAATTTACCTTGAAAGGGTCTCGACTTTAGAATGTCCGAATGGGGAAGGTCGGAGATGCAGGTCCGTCTACACGACCAATTAGGTGTAGCGAGCTTCAGGAACCGAGGACGGGGAGACCTACTCACGGCCCGTTCACGAAAGGATTTTTGTAAGGCGTACCGTTTATCTGGGGCATGCTCGTATAGCTCCCTGGTGCCTAGAGGTGTTTTTCCGTGCAGCTGTAGAAATAAGACAGTTCGCCCCGTGCGCATTTTAACACACCTCAGTCACAACAACCTAAATCAATTGACTATGCGTTTCTCCTTCCTCGCGCTTGCGCTCGCCGGCTCGGCCGCCGTGACAGTCGCAGAGAGCGAATACGACCGCCCCGATCTTGCGGACACATACTGGGACGTGAGCATTTCTACACAGTCCGGTCGCCCAGGCTACAGCATCCGCGACTTCAACGCTACTTTCCATTCATCAATCACCAATGTCATTGAGGGAAAGTGTCACTACAGCTTCGTGCCACAAGGAACCAGTGCGCCTGCCGAGACGGATGTGTGTAGCACGGGATTGAAGTATGAATGGGACTGTAAGTCATCTTGATTATTCTATCTGCCGGACATCCACGTCTGCGAAGCTCAGTGCAAGAGGCTAATTTTGGTGCGATAGACACGAACGTTACGTTCCTGGAGCAAACGCTCGTTATGGGTAACGACAATTTTTGGATTTACGGACTGTCAAACAAGATAGAGACAACTCGCAGGAGCGATGGCATGAGCAGCACGACCAAGGGTAATGGCAAGGTGGATATCAGCCATTATTGTATCAAACCCGGATCGGGGACCTACAGTGGATGTGGATACGCTAACGGCTGCGTATCCACGAAATGCAACAACGAGAAGACAGGTGCTGCTTAGGCACAGGCTAAACGACCTAAGTTAGCAAAGAAAGTATTGTTTCTGTAGAAGTAGTTTTTCGTCGTAGAGCATAAAAGATTTAATATAGACTAACCTCTAAGCGACTATATAGAATTCTACTACGTTTTAAAATTAGCGTAGGTTCTATACCTCTATTCTTGCCTCTCTTTTCTCTTCTTGCTGTAACACTCTCTACTCTATTTTTGCCTCTTCTACCTTCTCTACTATCTTTCTACTACCTTACTACGTACTATAAAGCTCTCTACGCTCTCTTCTATAATATTAATACCTATTATCTATCTCTAAGTTTATTAGGTTTACAACTTTTGCTATTAAATTCTATTAAATATAGTCTATATATCTATAAATTTTAGTACTAGCCTTATAGCTTAAGCTAACTCTAGAAGCTTACTTAATAGCTTAAGCTAACTCTAACTAATATAAGATAATAGGCTATATACAATCTACACTTAATTAGATATTATATTAGAGTTTACTAACTAAGAAGAAAAATCTAGAAAGTATAATCTTATAATAGAGTTAGCTAGTAGAGAAGATAGATATACGTAATTAGTATATTTACTATATATCGCTAATAGTCTAGAGTTAGACTAAGATAAGAACATAGCTTAAGAAGTATATAATAGGCGTAATTATATAAGAATTTTAGTAGTTATAGAGCTACTTACTTAGTAGCTTAGCGCTATCTAATTAGCTATCTAGACTAGCGCTATAATAGTACTTCTCTCTTTAGATAGAGCTCTAATAATATAATTAATAACACTAATATATAATAGCTTTAAAATAGTAAATTTAGTAAGTAAATTTTTTTTTTATATTTAATCTAGTTTAACTTTAAAAGTTTTAACTTTACTTTAGCTATATTAAAGTAGTTATTACTTACTTTACTATTAAGCTTACTTATAGCTTATATAGTACTTAAAATAATACTAATACTTTTTAGTATATATAGGTAATAGCCCCGCACTAAAACCGCGCTAGCTCTTCCCGCAGACTCTGCATATCTCGCGCAAACCTATTCATCACCCGCACTTTTACGACGTTACATCAAAATCTAAGCACGCATTTGCATCTAGACAGCATGGCGTTTAGATTTACGCCCTTCATTTAATCTACTTGCCCATATGCAGCTTCTGCCACGCGTGCCCCGAGTTCGGTGGCATCGCCATGGGTCAAGCCCCTTTCCTACACCCACACGATGCCCGGCGTTGAGGCCACACTCCCGGGGGTAAGCACTTGTTACACGCCCGTCACATCTTTGGCACCATGACAAGAACACCCTGGGCTCTGGACTACTACAGGCTGTTATCATTTTCCACATTGGCCTGCAGCCGAATGGTTCCTTCACGGCGGCATGCTGTATGTGGGTATGAGCCATGTATGCTCTTTAGAGTACCTGTACTTTCATGTCGGGCTGTGTCAAATCACTGGCTGATACACGCCTTGATGATCGGGAACTCGGCTGACATTGGACTGCAGATGATGCATGTGGCAAACGAATGATATTGTGCGCTATCATCAATCCGAAAACTGAAGCGAAATAGTGGTAATAGTACTACCACGCTAGGGCGAAACGTCTGAACCCGTTGAGTCCTCCATGAAGGTCTCCACATTGCTCTCCCAGACAGTGGATCCGATCTGCTCCACGACCTCGATCAGCTCTTCCACCTTCTGGATGCCAGTTCCCCTGCTGACAACTGGTCGCAAGAACGCGCCACGGGTATCTCCGCCAGCGTAATCCACCATGAACCCCCGATGCACGAGCTGCGCCGCTATTTGCTTCGTAACTTCCTCATTGCGACCAGCATCCTCGCTCAACCGTCCTCCTTCTGCATAGTAGAAGCACACTTGGCAGCAAGGTGGCGGGTTTGGGCTAATCAAAACGAGATTTGGATGATCTTCCACGAGCCTTGCAAGATATGCAGCGGTACTGAAGACTGCGTCAACCTGCTTGGCATAGCCCTCGTAGCCATGATACATCCAACTCAGGTACATCTTCAATGCATCGCCACGACGTCCGCACTGCATGGTGAGATCAGCCAAGTCAAACACTTCCTCCGAGCTATCAGCACTGTGGAAAAGATAGCTCGCGGGTAATGTGTTGCTGGTGTGGAATTGACGTATATCCGCGCTGAGCACGAAGGAACAAGTTGCGGGTACGCCCATCATCTTGTGTGGATTGATGGTGATGGAGTTGGCCAGATGACTTCCGTCAAGTTTGTACTTGTGCTTTGCACTGAAAACAGCGGGCCCACCCAGAGAGGCATCAACATGGAGCCACATGCCGAAGTCCTTGCAGATAGCATGGAGTGGGCGAAGATTGTCGTAAGCGCCGAAAACGGTTGTTCCGGCAGTGGCGTTCAAGAAGAAGGGTGTGAATCCTTCAGAGATGGCATTCTCAATACAGGACCGAAGCGCCGCCGGATCCATGCTACGAGTCGTTGGATCGGCAGGGACCGCAAACACCGACGACATGCCGAGACCAAGCATCAACCCAGCCTTTTCGATGCTGTAATGACCATTGGCTGAAGTGAAAGCGGCCAGTCGAAGCCCACCAGCACTGTTGCCCAGCTGCTTCGTCTCGGGGAACAGAGTATGACGTGCTACTAGCATAGCAGTTGCATTGGAGCCTGATCCTCCTGAGGTGGTTACGCCGCCTGCGAAAGCCCCATTCAGTCCGAACAGGTTCGCGAGAGCGCGTGCGGTGAACTTCTCAATGACGGCTAGTGCAGGCGACACCTGAAAGGTGTGGACCTGGGTGTTGAGAGAGGCCAACACTAGTTCAGCTGCTAGACCTGGTGCGTCGGTGGAGCCGTAGAGCTTGCTCATGAAACCTGCATCCCAGGTGTTCACAGAGTAGCGAAGGACTTTCTCGACTTCCTCCAAGAAGCCCTCCTCAAGAAGCCCAGCAGTGGGAAAGCTCAATGCCATAAGCCTTTGCAGCTCCCTCGGGTCATGCTGCTCGACCAATGCCTTGCGCAACCCCTTCTTGTTCACTCCGTTGGAGTGACCATTCGGAAGGTCATTGGGAGACTTGTGGTTGTCTGCTGAGTGGATGAAAGGGATGATCAGATCTTGGACTTGGCCCAGCAACTACAAATGTCAGTGAAATCTCCCCTACACAGGTGCAGATCGGCATCCTAACCTTCTCGACCTCTTCAGAACGCGAGGTCAAAATATGGGCATCTGCGGTAGGGTCGGTGACGTGGGTAATGGCAGGACTCATGATGAAGTATTGCTGTGTCGAGCTTTTGAGTCGCCGAAGGTTGAAGAGACCTCCCTTTTAAGTCTTTTCGAAAACATTCCCCGGCTACTATGAAGCTCCTCTCGATGCATAGAACGGACATGATCGTCAGCACAATGCGGTAGGTGCTGATGATACTCCTCGCCTATGCAAAGATGGCGTTCAATCAGTTGAACGTACGCTACGCTTCACTGTCAAGCGATCTGACAGCTCGGAACTAACCATCCCGGTGAGACTGCGGTTCACGGTCGAAAGTAGTTGTGCGACGGTGATCGTACTTGCATGTGGCTAGGAGAAGCGTGATCATTGGTAACATGCACATTGCTCTCGAAACGCATCTTCCTGAAAGCCAAGCTATGGCGTCTGTGCAAGCTTCATGCGGTGCGGCCCGGGGTCAGCGGAAGCCGTGCAGAGATGTCGCAAGCACGTCAAGCAAGCTAAGCAGTTTGTGTTTCGCATGCCTTTGCCCTGATCAAGCTAGTATTTGACCAGAAGAAGAATGGTCGCGAAATGGCTGGCCAAGCCAGCTTGCTCGTTGCTGTTTCTAACTTCGCCCCGCATGCTGCATGTCAGAACTTTCCAAGGATTACGCGACCGACACAAAGGAACTCTAGACTCGTGGCCAGAAGTTCATGTAACACAGTAAGGCCCACCACTAGCGTCGCGTCCTTGTCTTACTTCCCTTCTCGCCATATGCAACTACATTGGTACCAGATGGGGTATCGTCGACTGTCTGCGCGCCAGGCTAGGTTGCAGCAATCAGACCAGTCATCTGGGACGAAGCTCCGGTCCGAACCTCCATTGCATGAGCAGGTACTACGACAACGCATGTAGTACAACGCGATGTCTCAGCCACCACTATCAACAGTCTGCTTTCGCGTACGCGTACGTCCACCAACGCTTGTCAGAGCCCCATTGTTGAGCCTGATCGATATTTCGCGAGAAGCGCACATCTCCATCGTTCAGAGTTACGACAGAACTCCAGAAGCTTACATTGAGTCAAGCGCTCAAAGTCAGTCTGATATGGGAAACCTCGGATCATTCATCGTCGTTTACGCTTGCCTTGGAAGCCTCTAAATGGCATTCATCGAAGCCTCGGTTCGCGCTTTAGGCCGCACCTGCATATCTCATGGCGGGTTGACGCTTCAGCATATGCATGGCCTAATTCGATTTACAGCATGACCACCTCACGGAGGTCGCTCCTAGATTGGACCCGAGAAACATTTAGGCTAGACCAGCGGGTGGTCTTTGTGCAAAACCTTCCGCATGGGACGCCTAAAGCTAAGGTAGCAGTCATTTCATCTCGCATAATGCTAACAACAAGACAGTACTCTTGAGTACCAAGGTATTCCATGCGGCAGCTACGGAGCCATCGCTCAGAACGGATAATGATCAGAGTCAACCAAGACGCGTCACTACCACCATGGATCACGAGCAAATGAGGACCTTTTGCATTGTGGTAGTGAAAGAATGTATAGGTCAGTCTACTAAATTCAAAAGAACCAGGGTAACTGCATGCCCGGGCTTGATTCATCTCCACAATCTAGACCGAAGAGGCATACCTCAGCGATCTTTCTACGAGCTTCAATGCGCACTCTCAATTCCCGATGTCTTCCTGGCCACCCTGGAAAAGCTTGACGAGCTCACGCAGCTGCTGCATGGGCATATGGCACAGCCAATCACCATCAATATGCCCCTTGAGCATATTGACGCACAACGCCCGGTATCGGTCATGAACGACATTCTCAGGCACCGTCTGGCCAACACCCGTACGCGGCGTGGTCAGAACCTTTTCTCGGCCATGCATGAGCCGGAAGTTGTCCCAGACGTACAGGTCTCCCGGCTTCAACACAATCTTGAGTTGGTGGCTTGGACGCCTCATGATCTCCTCAAACTTCTGATGCGCGAGCCGATGGGCTTTGTAGTCGGCATACGGGCTGCACAGGTAGCCAGTCAAGTTCGGATGCCAGCGCACGCGCTTCACGCGATCTGGATAGCCTGGGTGCATGGTGACAGCCGTGTCAGTGGTGGCTTGATACAGCGGCTCGCCGTAGAATTTGGACACACGCCCGAACGCTACGGGAGCGTTGCATAGGTGGCGATAAGACTCTGGGTCCTCGCTGCGCAGCGTCTCGAGCGCTTGAAGGGACGAGATCCACGTGTTCTCACTGGTACCTTCGAGGCCGTAGAATCCCTGGACTTGGATGGGGTTGTCGTAGAAGGCATGGTCAGTGTGCGGCAGAAGAATTTGGGTGGTGTCGTAATTGGGTAGTCCAATCTTGCGATTGGCATCGCCGGAGTGGCTCGATACGTTGAAAGTCTGATCGGCACCGCGAATTGGGTGGACGAAGACAGCACCAAAAAGACGTTTGAGGACTTGGGTGTTGATGTTTTTCTTGTGGCTGTGCTCTTCTTCCATGTTCGGAGCGGGAAGATCCACGATCTTCACAATACCGGGCGCGGAGGAGCCCAGAATTCGGTCGATGATGGAAAGAATGGTTTCCTCAAGATCCTTGGGCTCGAGCTCTCCAGCGAACAGTTTCGAGTAGGATACCTCTGGGATATGCAGACTGTCAACTGTCCAACCTTTGACTTCGGCTTGGGCTGGCGAAGCGGTAAGGTCGTCGGCTGGAGCAGCTACCAGAGGCGCCATGACACGAAGCCAAGGAAGCGGGATCTGATTATTGACTCCATCCTTCCAGCTGATGTCAAGCGTTTCCTTGAGACCATAGCTTGAAGTGCGAACCTTCTCGACTTGGGCGAGTTGGAGCGGCTGCTGGCACATTGCTGTCTCGGCATTCCGGGCTGCACCGTTGTCGAAACGAGCATCACGGAGCCACTGAGAGTGGAAGGTGAAGCTCCCATCTGGAAAGTCGATAGTGACTTTGTTGCCATTGGTGCATTTCTTACACATGGTGGCCCTCGTGACAGAGGACTCCAATGTGTCGATTGAACCCATGGTTGGAGGAAGTGAATGATGGGTGATGGTTAGATCAAAATTATGTTATGATTGAAGACTGAAGTCGGTGAAGCTTCTTGATCATGGATGGAGAAGCACATCTGATGGACTCCTGTTTAAATGAGTTCAATGGCGCAGTATGGAATCACTGATCAACCTCCCCACTGATTGAAAGTAGTGGCCTAATCTAGCGATGATAGCGATGCAGGTGAGATTCTCCGCACTTGTCGTGAGGTTTGACGCCAGAGACGCTTGTGTAACGTGAACCCACCGGTTGTGGTGAAACCTTGGAAGACGGAACGCCAAAATGTCGACCTAGTACCGCCATAAGCACTTGAATCCGGGCCTTGCATGTCAGCATTACGGCTGGCTTGCATTGCACCAAATATCTCAAAGGACTATAGCTGCTGCATGAGCGACTCGGCCGCCCCGTAGAATCTGGTGTAACCGCCGAGTCAACCAAACAGTGGCCAACGTGCACCTCGTGATGCTGGCGTGCTTGCCAGGATTAGCATAAATTAATTGATCTCGCATACAGGAAGATGAACCATGGTCGGGCGTATCCGCAGTAATCTAGCGTGCGGCTGCCGCATGCATCTTTCGTACATCCATGGATTCGTTCCCCATGGGGACGTCGGTTGGGAGAAGGTACGTAGCGCCTTTCGGTGGCATCGAGCATGATGAGCAGATCGGTTACACGATTATCGACTCCTCATCAGCACTCGACGCGTATGCATCTCCTTTGGTTTGACATGGCACCGGGTGATACTGTGGATCGTCGATACCATGCATCATCAGCGTCTCGCGCAATCATCACCCAAACTGCCTCATCATGCCTACATGCTATTGGAAGCATGAGATTGAGGCGCTTCCACCCTTTATTTCGGTAACACATGCATGCCGAATTCGCACTGCCTAGCTCTAGCATACGTCGAGACTGCTTCACTGGTGCAGAATGACGTGGAAGTGAGACACATGAGCTTCATACGGCTTGCAACGATCCGGTTTGGAATACGCTGGCGCAGATTGTACTGGTATTGACTTACTATTGACGTCACCGTCATGTCTGAGCTTTCATATAACATGAATGATCCATAGGAAAACATAAGGTGTATCTGTGTATCAGAAACAAGCTTTGACGTACTTCATTCAATCTCCACTTCTACACTCCATTCACATCTCCAATCAACATGGCCAACACTCAAGTTCTGACCTCATCGGCTGAGCCAACAGCTCAGGGCGTCATCAAAACATGGGCAAACAAGCCTGATCCTGGCCTCATCAAGACCATCGACTTCAGTGACTTCTTGTCGGGAGACGAGAAGCGTGTGAAGTTCTGCCTCAGCGAGCTTCATGAGGCCTGTGTTGAGCATGGGTTCTTCCAGATCATCAACCACCCGGTATCTCTCGAGACTCAGAAGGCCATTTTGAAGGCTTCTGCCGACTTCTTCGCACTTCCACGAGAGGAGAAGGGTAAAGTAGCCGCCACAAGTAGCTCTTAAGATATCTTGCTAACTTATTACTAGTATGTAGCCTTCTTGCTATGCTTTGCTAACGCAGTTCTAAGACATCTTATTATTCGTGCTAACAGCTTGATAGGCAAAGCTAGATCAGCGCCAGAACGATCACAACCGGGGCTACCAGACTCTTCTTTCGCAAAAGTACAAGGAAGAAGATACGGCGCCAGATCTCAAGGAGGGCTACTACGTTGGTCCTGAGCTATCTTGGGACCACCCGCAAGTTGTGGCTGGGAAGTTCGCCCACGGGCCGAACTACTGGCCCGAAAGCCTGGGACAAGGTTTCCAGGATGTCTGCATGGACTACCTTGAGCAACTCAACTTCCTCAGTGTTGAAGTGCTGCGAGCTGTCTCCATGTCGGTAGACGGCAATGTCGAAGAGACCAATGAGTTCATCAAGCACTTCACTGAAGGGCCCATCACCTACTTCAAGATGAACCATTACCCGAAGCCACCCCGGATGGACGACATCGGCCAGAAGGGCCACGGCGAGCACAAAGACTTCGGCTTTGTCACTCTCCTCCTGCAAGACGGCAACCCCGGTCTCGAAGTCTGGGACGCGCCGTCTGAGTCCTGGATCGACGTGCCGCCTACGGAAGGCGCCTTTGTTGTCAACCTTGGCAATCTGCTCGAACGCTGGACCAACCGCAAGTACCTTTCGAACGTACATCGGGTACTCAACTTCTCTGGTACTGACCGCCACTCTATTGCGCACTTGTACCACGTAAGTTCAACTACCAAGATTCAGGAAGTGAGGCAGCCGCTAACGATTCGTAGGGCAACCCTGACTACATGATTGAGGCTAAGAAGTCGTGCTACGACCCCGCCGTAGGTCCAGAATTTGGGCCCATCAGGATTGAGGACTTCGTCAGGGGTAAGTACGATGAAGTGTACGCAAGAGCGGGTGTCATTCCAACGGATCATAAGGCGCATTAGGCGGAGAAGTGTTCAGTGGCTGAGCGGGTCGTTTCCTTGTCTTTCTTTGTTTACTCTCACTCGCTAAGATTGCTTCGGCCCACCAGGAAGTCATGTTTTCCTTGGCTTTTCTTTGCATGTAAACGGCAAAGGTAGCATACCAATAAACATGTGTTTACGTCAAAGAAGTTGTCTTATCACACCACATCATGCACTATCAAGCCCTCTGCCATTAAATCCGTATCATCAATAAACACGTATGTCGGGATACATCTAGAACTAGTTGTGGGGTGAAATTGGACCTTGAAAGCTACATCAGCTTGGGCAGCGAGTAAACCCCGACTGTTTCCATTGTGTATACTCCAAAACGAGAACCACTTTTAGTTTATGACGCTACTGGCCTCAAACTTGGGTCGAAGAATGTGGGGATGAACGCCCGGGTACGGACAGAAACCGGTGATTGCATGCTAAACCTGTATGTCCTGCCATGTCTTTTTGACGCCCCTGACGCCTATCTGTAAGACAATCTGTTTCCCCGCATGACGAACTTCGCAATTAGCCTGCAGCTCATCGAGGATTCTGGTTCGATCGACTGCAGGACATGTAAGCTTCCAACTTTCACTCAATGTATCAGACCCATGCTGATCGCTTGGTGTGACCCCTACACGTACCCATGTATCACGACCTGCATAGCTTGGCTCATCATGAACGGCCGAGTATCTCGTAATGGAGACTTCGACGGTTTCGGCTGCAATTCCGTCAGCCGAGCGTGCGTTTAGGCGGTCCGTTATTGGTCTTGTGCATTTGTATGCGTACACCGCGGCATGGAGGTTCGTATCACCACAGCTTGTAGTGTCAGCTCTAGCATCGATCGCAGCCGATGCCTGCGATCTCCGTGAAGGTAAAGCATCATATCAGTGCGCTGAGTAGTTGGTATGATGTCACGTCGAGGGGATTCTTGACGTGCAACATCCTGGACATCGCTCATCTTCAGTAGGATCGAGGTTTTCGTAACGGCGATCTTGATGAACGAACTTTGCATGCTAATGTGTGTGCCAATGTTCACTCAATAGCATTTTTATGATGTCATTGACCAGAGCATCCGTGCTATGAGATTGTCACCCTCAATGACACTCCTGGACGACGTATAAGAAAGCGAAACAGCATCTTATCAATCTCTTCCTACGGCTTGAGTATCTTCAAAGAGTCTTAAGTATCATCCACGATGCCGTCTTTACTTCCCCTCCTCATCACCCCAGTCACGCAAAAGGTCGCACCGATTGAGAGTCTTTTGACAAGTCTTTTGCCGAAAGTGGCCAGTGGCCCACCACCACTGTTCGAGCCGACCACCCCGGCAAAAGACGGGCCGGAGTGCATTCAGGACTGTTCATCATGTGACATCACATACCCGGAGAAGTTCAAGATCAATGAGACCGAGAATTTGTACGGTACTGTCATGCCTTGGGAGAGACATCTCCTCGTTGCGACTGGCAAAGCCAATTGGATCAGCAATTTCATGAGTGAGGAAGGCAGCATCGGAGAAGCCATAGCCAAGACACATGGACATATGGTCGAGAAGGTAAAATAAACCCCTCCACATCAAAAGCGATGATGCCTAACAAGAGCCTCTAGAAGTTCATGCTTTCCGCATCCAACATCCCCGTACCGGACTACAGCGTCAACAAGAATCCCGACGACGAACCAATCTCTTCTGTCCTCCTTCTCCCAGCTTTCGTCATCGTTGATTGCGTCACACCATCCCGGACACCAGATCTCATATCACACCTCGTCAACCGCAGCCCATGCAATACCTCGTCATTGCTTCCGCTCAACTCGCTTAGCGTGCCGCCAGAATCCGGACTGAAGATACGCTCATGCCCACACGACTACCTCATCTTACTGTGCAGTCACCGGACCCGCGATGCCCGGTGCGGTCAATCTGCACCACTCCTGAAGAAAGAATTCGAACGCCATCTCCGGCAACGAGATTTGTATCGCGACTCGCTTGACGAGAGACCCGGGGGTGTGGGTGTTCACTTCGTCAGTCATTTTGGTGGGCACAAGTTTGCCGCAAATGTCATTGTGTATCGTCGGACACCGTTGCCATTTCATGGAGCAAAGGAGAGTACGGATGGCGCTGCATCACTTCCACTGAGAGAAGCAAAGCAGTGTATATGGTTGGCGAGAGTTCGGCCTGAAGATTGCGAGAACATCGTTCGGTACACCATTCTGCAAGGAAAAGTTGTCAAGCCTGATCGGCAGTTGCGTGGTGGGTTCGACAGGGAGCGTTGCGTTACGAGCTGGTGATGATTTGGGTTTCTTAGTATCGCGATTTGTCAATCATTGCAAGCGCCTTTCGCCCATAGTTCTAGTAATGAATGATATGATATCGTAATACTGTTGTAGTCACCCATGTTTGAATGCCTTGTACTTTGACTCACCACCAATCTCCTTGGGCATGCATCGCATCCGCCAGCTTGACAAACCCGGCAATATTGCTTCCCACAAAAAGGCTGGGTAAGTCTTCCGCGCGCATATCCGTGTAGTTTTTGGCGGCTTCAATACCGCTGTGAAAGCATGATTCGACAATGCGATACAGTTCAGCCTCGACCTGTGCGGCCGGCCAAGCGATGCGCTGGCTGTTTTGCACCATTTCGAGCCCTGACACTGCCGAGCCGCCAATGTTGGCACCCTTACCTATGGATTGGATCAGCGAGTTGATGAGACTTAGAGTGGTGTTGCCAAAGTACCTGGAGCAAACCACACACGTCCGTTCGGATTATCTGCCCTGCGCGATTCGAAGAGTTGGATAGCGTCTTGTGCGCAGCCCATGTTGCTGCCTTCGGCGATGAAGCGACAGCCAGCAGATATCAGTGCTTCTGCTTCGTCTTTGGACATTTCGTTCTGCGTGGCGGAGGGTAACGCAATATCGACTTCCTTCACATGCTTCCAGGGTCTTTCGCCTTCGAGATGCTCGAACCTTTGACCCTGCTCCATTGCCATGATGTCGGAAAGTGGAAGGCGTTTCTTCTTGATAGAGGCGATGAGGGCGATGTCGTCTTTTGTGAAGCCTTCCACAGAGATAGCTTTGAGCGTCCCCTTACTGTCGGACAGAGTAAGGACGACAGCACCCGCATCAATGGCTTTGATAGCGGCATACTGTGCGACATTTCCAGAGCCTGAAATCGCGACCTTCTTGCCACGCGTAGACTCAGCGCCATCGGAAGCGTATTCGATCATCAAAGAGACGTACTGTGATTGTACTGTTAGCGAGTAAATCAGGCCTTTTCGGTGCTTGACGTACATGAACCAGCCCAAAGCCAGTTGCCTCAAGCTTCATCAGACTTCCACCAAACGCATCTCCTTTGTTTGTGATGCAACCTTCCCACCTCGTAGTCGCCGCCTTGAATGCGCCAAACATCCATCCCACTTCGCGCCGTGTACAGCCAACATCACCAGCAGGCACGTCCGTATCAGCTCCAATGTACTTGCTCAGTTCGCGCATGAAAGACACGCAAAAGCGACGAATCTCGTGATCAGATTTGCCTTTGGGGTCAAAGTCTGACCCTCCCTTTGCACCACCAAGATTCACTATTGCGATGGTCAGAAAGATCTGGACATTGACTGACTGGAGATGTAAGACTTACAGCCTGTCAAAGCATTTTTTAGGGTTTGCTCGAGCGAGAGAAACTTCAGCACCGAGAGGTTGACGGACGGATGAAACCTCAGTCCGCCTTTGTACGGCCCCAGTGCTGAGTTGAATTGTACACGATAGCCGCGGTTGACTTGCACGCAGTTCCTGTCATCCTCCCAGATCACACGAAATTGAATGACGCGTTCGGGAACAGCAAAGACTTTAAGAGCATCTCTGTACTCTGGATGCTGTTTAAGCACCGTGGAGCCATCGAGCGATGACGCAAGGTCTGAGATGCGCGTTAGCAAGTTACGCACATCGACGATGGATATGAAGGTTCAGTACGCACCATTGTAGGCTTGATCAAACTCCGGTTCGAAGGAAGCCATGTTGCAGATACCGAAGACAGGATGGATGGAAGGCTAAAAGCGAGGGTTGCGCACTCAATTATGTACAATGAGCCGGCGACCTACGCGTATTTGTATACTCAAAACGTTTGTTCAGAACGAGCATAGCGCGCTATTACGCTATCGACCATGGCTGTCTGCAACATGCAACAGTGAATGCTGACTGCAGCATGTTGTACCATGCGAATCAGCGCTGTCCAGTAGGCACATGGGCGTTGCATCCCTCGGGTCCAGATGTTGGCAGGGATGTGTTGGCATCTTCATCATTAGCGAGGTCATCACCCAGTCGGCGTGTATGTTGATAAGAGAGATCATTAAAGGCGTCTAGGAGGGAAAGGGGGATGAGGAGTTGTGGCTGTTGAGCACGACCCCACTCTGCAGTGGCTAATGCCGAGGTATCCCAATCGGGTTAGCGTCTGTTGTCATCCCCTTTGTCGCCCTGGCCCCGATCCCCAAGTGTCATCGCTCACCACCGTACCATAAACGTACGTAGCAACAACGCATCTCGACTTTAATCGTTCCGAGTCTGACTTAATATTCCTCACAAGAAGATGCCGCAAGACCCTGAGCCAAGTTGGGTTGACTGTCTCGATCATGGAGACGCAATCGTCATAGCTTCGACCTGGCATGCTCTTCCCACAGCGGACGGAACGAATCTTCGAGTGGGCTATCGCGCATCTCAACCCTTCCTTTTGCCGTCTTGAATAACCGCGGTAGCCCGGTCTTCTCGAAAGGTACTCCATCTCGCACCATAGCAGCCAGACCCTTACTCGACAACAGTATCTGCGGCATTCCGTGACCATTGAACCCCGCGATGATGAATTGTCCTGGTTTATTTGGAACTGGACTAATGTGCGGCATGAAGTCTGCACTATAGCCCATGACTGTTCAATGCGTTAGTTGCGCATGGGCAGGAGACTACGATACTTGCTTCCAGTCCACACCTTCTTTGTCTGCGCTTGCGTATCCTCCCATCCGCGGAAGTGGCGCTGCATGTACCCGTCGAAGTAGGTCGTTGCTTCATCAACAAGCTCGTCATTGCGCACGGTGTCGAACCAGCGCTCAGGCTTGTGCCAGAACCGCTGCCTTGCGCCTCCAACGATGATGCTTCCGTCTGCTCGGGGAATGAGATAGTCGTAATTTCGGCCGTCGAAACGAAGGGCGTAAGTGTTGTTGAGATGTGGTGCGTGTTGCTTCAATGCGCTGTCGATATGGCTGCAGACGCCGCGGATCGGAGTTATGCTTCGCGTGTATTCGGGCAGAACTTGGCTCGCGTAGCCGTTGGTGGCGTGGATGACCTTTGTGGCTTTGATAGTGCCGCGCGATGTTTCTATTATCCATCTTCCTGCCTCGTCCGTCGTGTCGGATACAGACGTCACTGGTGTATTTGCTTGAACATTGAGCTTATGGTCTTGCTCGAGTAGCTTCGCTAGCAATTGATGCACCATCTTTCGTGGCCACAAGTGCGCTGCAGTAAAGCTGACAGCCAGCTGAGCGCCCTTGACTCCCGATACCTTCGGAAGAACAATTAGCCTTACGATTCATACGTCTTTATGAAAGACAAGCGTGCTCACCCTCTCTGCATCTTCTTTAGAGACACAAGCTACGTCTCTTAGTTCGACAATATTATCCCTCCTTAGCATCTCCCACGCCGCCTCCGTCTGCCTGGCATGATCGGCACCCAGATACACATCGATCGCTCTCGTAAGATGTAAGTCACAGTCCAACTTCTCAGCCTCAACAAGCTCTTTGACTGCGTACACATTCGCCGCTTCAAAATTTGTAACTTCCGCTGCAGCGCTCGCACCATCCATGGATACATATTTCGAGACGTTGAAGTAAAGGTCTGGCTTTACGTGCCCGCCATTGCGACCAGTGGCACCAAAACAAATCTTGCGAGCATCTAGAATGAGGACAGATTGCTTCGGGGACGACGAGGATGATGTGAGAATATTATAAGCTGTCGCCTAGTAGATTGCAATCAGCACATATGCGTTCGGAAATCAACTCGTGATGTAGACGTACAACCCCGGCAAATCCCGCACCGATGATTACAATGTCTGCCTCAGTGGAAAGGTCATCCGTACTCAGTAGGTCATCAAGAGGATTGGATACAGAAGTCCAGAATGAGTGTACGGGATCTGCTACCGGTGTGCGGTCGCTCTTCATGTTGCGATATCGATGTGTGCTGCATAAACGTACTTGTACCGGATCGCAGAAGACTGCCTATCAAAACCAAGGCCACAAATATTTTGCCCAAACGACGGTCTGACATGGTTACAAGAAGATAACAGAGCGTTTCCGACAACGGTACACGGGTATGCACATGATGAGGCACGGAGATGGCCGCGGCGCAAAGCGCGCTGGTGGTTCCCCCACTTCCTGAACATCTCAACGGCTGGAGTTCTCCAGGGTGCTTAGCGAGTTCTGCTCCATGATTCATTCTTATCGATGATAGAGTGGGGGATGCACTCGATAACGAGGACGGAGAACATTTGCCGAAACGTAGATCGGCAAGGGTGATTACTCGCTTGACTGAGGAGGTCATGCATATATCATCCCATCAAGTACACGAAGATGTTTAGCGGCGTTCTGAGCAATCCTTCTGCACGACGTTGACTTGGCATGACTGTTCAGCACTCTGAGTTTCTGCAGCTGACCAGATCGCGCGAGATGTTCTGACATCGCTATGTTTCGAAACGCAAACGGCTTAATTTGAGTCGGCATCAGATGCAGCTATGATACCACGAGCCATCTCGGGAAAGGAGTCCGCAGTCACATCCATCTCGCCGAAGAGATTGTCGCAACGAATCTTCTCCCATATCGTGCAATACGCAGCCTTGAATCTGTTGAATGGTTAATGGAGCTGCGCAGGTAGACGGGTAGTGCCAACTCACCCGTGAATCTTAGCAGCCGCAACATCCCAGTTATGCGCAGCTGCAAACCATTTCTCATCACTGCCCAGCTTCTCCATCATCATTTGGTACACTTTTGGATCCGGTTTACCAATCTTGGCCGTGTCGCATGAGATGAAGTTCTCCTTGGGCATATGGATACCATTGTGCGTGAAGTAGCCTCCAACACGCTCAACATCCCCAGCCGTCAACGCCCACACCGTGAAGCCAGCATCCCGGAGCAATTGGAAACACTCCGCGACACCAGGCCGCGCTTCAAGCTTCTTGTACTGCTCTAGGATGTATTGCAAATCCTTGTCGCTAGCGAAAGTTTGGGGTTCCTCGATGCCGGACATGTATAGCATTCGGTAAAAGAGGCTGCTGAAGACGTCGCGGAAAGCCATGTAGCGACCATTCATGCTGAGATAAGTGTACTCTCTTTCGGTGACTTCAATCCAGAGGTAGCCAAATAGTCGTGGCTTGATGCCTTCAGCACGCATCTTGTCGCCTAAGCAGTGCTCCAGAGCATCGAATATGGCATCATAGGAGACGCAGGTGCCGACAATATCGAACACTACATGTTTGCTGGATTTAGACATGACGGAAGTATTGTGTCTCGAGGAATCGGCTTTCCGTCGCGGTTTATGAGGCCTTGGAGTAGGTGGTGGTAGAGGGTGACAGCAGACCGTGCTTGTTGGTCAAGTTCGCATTCTTCGGATGGCTATGAAGAAGTACAGTATGTCATGGTAATTTCGGGGACAGAGTCGAGCGAATTGTCGGGTATGATAAGCGCTGCTCCACTTGCATCTTGGCCAGGTAGGGGCCTTGTCTTGGCGAACTCCGCATGATCATGATGCCAGCATTGCTTTGGGACACGCCCACTCACAATCCTGTTGGGTTTTACTAAGCTGATAGAGATAGATAGGAAGCGGGGTCATGGTTTCGCAACAGTGGCGGTCTGATTACGTCGTGAGTAGGATTGCGATAACATCGAGCTGTCAACGGGTGCCATACAGATAGATGGCGGGAAGGTTGCAGCCGTTCGACGTAGCACTAATGTATATGCTGTGAATCTGCTGTTTCTGTCAGTTGCCTGGCTTCACTATTCTCGTGTTGTTCCTCGGGCGCCCTGTCCCCCCTGCAAGCCTCAACGATCGAAGATCATGACTTCCAAAGATGGTGAAGCACCGGATCTGGCACAACGAGTTGCCTCTGATCCAAGCGATGAGAAAACCCCGAAAATACAATATGGAGAGGCCGAAGATGCGGCAATCATAGCAGCACTGCAAGGCTATGTGCCAGATACTGTGGAAGAAAAACGCTTGGTCCGAAAGATTGACTTCATCTTGCTACCAATCCTTTGGTGGATGTACATACTTGCCCATCTCGACAGGAGCAACATTGCCAACGCCAACGCGGCGGGCATGAGTGAGGAACTTGGCCTGTCGGATAATCGTACGTTTGCCAATACAGACCACACAATAGTGTCCGAGGTGAGGTAGCTGACGGTGTGTAGAATACGCAATGCTCGTATCTCTCTTCTTTGTGGCCTACGTTATCTTCGAGGTTCCTTCGAACATGATCCTCATGAAGGTAAAACCGTCGATCTATTTGTGTAAGCGTACCCAGTCAGCCGAACGATGCTGAGTCAATACTCATAAATGTCGGTTTAGCCACGATTGTGTGGGTCTGGGGATGCGTAGTCCTCGGAATGTCGCAGACAAAGAGCGCAACAGGACTCCTCATTGGACGTTTCTTTCTGGGCGCAATCGAGGCCGGACTGTATCCAGGCGCGTTATTCATCCTGACCTGCTGGTACACGAAGAAAGAAGTTGGTGAGTACCTAGCCAGCCTCTTCGGAATCTGACATGTGGCTAACGTAATCCTCCAGGCAAGCGCTTTTGCATCTTCTACACCTCCGGCTGCGTATCTCCAGCGCTGGGTGGTATCATGGCAGGTGCCATAATTTCCAGCCTGGACGGTGCTCGTGGTATTCCGGGCTGGCGATGGCTGCTCATAATCGAGAGCATCATTACCATTGCTTGTGGCTTTGGGCGTAAGTAATCTACATATGCCGAAGGTGCGAACACTGTTAATATGTCCCGTCCCACTTGCCAGTGTATTTCATCCTTCCCAATTGGCCAATTGAATCCAAGATGCTTTCTCCGGAGCAACGCCTTCTTGCTCACGTCCGTATCCTTCGCGATCGAGATCAGTCCTGGCACATCGATGAGGCAGCTCTCACCCCATTCCAAGCATTCCTTGCAGTGATCAGAGATGGACGGACATATCTCTTTATGGTCATCTACACCTCGAACTGCCTGGCCTTGACCGTTTCATATTTCATTCCGACCATGCTTCGAGGAATGGGATATACGAGCACCAGTGCCCAATGGATGACGGTACCCATCTGGAGTTGTGGTGCCGTGTTTCAGCTGTTCTGGTAAGTAAACCCTTGTAAAGGCACGGCAAGAGACATCCACTAATCGTACACCGATTGTTAGGTCCTGGACTTCTGACAAGACCGAAGACCGAAGATGGCACAACGCTGGTCTTCTCGCTTTCGCCGGAGTTGCTACTTTAGTAGCTCTTCTTGTCAGCAATAGCGCAGTCAAGTATGCCATGCTATGCCTGCAGACTGGTGCGATGTATACAACGGTACCTCTGATCCTCAACTGGACAAGCGAAGTCATGTCCCAACCAGCACGCAAGCGATCGATAGCCATTGCGCTGGTCAACTCTTTTGGTCACACGAGTTTCATATATGGAAGCTTTTTATGGCCCAGCGCTGAGGGACCACGCAACCTGAAGGGATTTGCCGTATCGACTGCCGTTCTATGGCTTGGCGTGTTGATCGCTGCATTGATGCCAGTGGTTGCGAACTATTTGCCGAAGCCGCGATCTGATGGGGTGTTGCGCGGACATGAGGTCCACCTTGCTGACAACGACTCGGACCAACTCAAGAAACGGGATGAATAATCTGGGACGGACCGAAAGGCAGACGGGAAGATGCGTTCGATGGGAAAATGAAGCGAGGTCTGGTAGCGAAGATGGGAAGGAGAGATTCGAGGACCGGGGTCAGTGACGTCAAATGGTCTATGCTTATCATAGGCTTGCGGAACGCGTGTCGGAACGCCCGAAACGGTAAAGCGTGCCCTGTTCTCTCGCTCTCGCACGCGTGCCCAGCCTTCCGACCTTCCTAGTCAGCTCAACAACGACCGTGAGCGCCATGTCAAAGCTCATCACCAGATTCCACACACAGTTGTCTCCAATTCATCGAAGCCTCCTGCCGATCTCCTGTTCATGCGCATCGCGGATATACGCCCTGGTAAGCGCCCGTGGACGCGCCGAACGGGCAGCGTGATCCCTACAGCACAGAACGTTCGCCTGCACGACGTACAACAGTACTGATGAAACCGTCTTACTCCAACGTCCCTATTTGCTCCTAGACGTCATGTGGTAGCGCAACGCAAAATTGTTGCCCAAGGCAAACAAACCTGATTGTGCGTTCGTCGCTTCAATATTGGCTTTCACCAACAGTCCCCATGTGCACAATTTTAGACTTCTCTAACAGAAATAGAACTCTCTTGGGAAATTGACCAACCCTGCACCGTATAGTTTACATGACCACAACTTTAATAACCCCACGATGTCATTAACGACGCCCTTCGATACCGTCAACGCTGAAGCACTCGCTTCTTGAAGCAGCAGCATGAGCTTCGTATTGTGCGCCACTTCGGTCGAATAATTATGGGCCCACATTGGGCACAAATGCTATCTTTCATGTGAAATGAGTGCTCGTGGATGGGCGCCTCCAACTTCGCCAGGTCCTACACACCCTCGAGGTTCGGCGAGGTCAGTACGATGTCTACGCGTCGGAGTCAGCGATCACCACGACATGCGCCCTTTGCGAACATGAGTAATTCTAACTACGCTGACTTCGCAACTCGTTCTCCACCGCGTTATCGGGCATTAATCAACCTGAGGTCATCAACGGCATACCCTACGCTCTTGGGGTATAACGGCGCTCTGCTGCCCAGCTTTCCAGTAGCCTTATTGGTGCTTTAACTCTCACGTTGTTGGCTACGCTTCAGAACACGGGCGCTTGTTCAATAGCAAAAGCCTTTGGGAGATCGATCAACACCTAACTAGGTACCCAAGGCGAACATACAACAGTGCTTCGGTACTTCATCGCGACACGTCGGGCCTTCTGTGTGCTCTCCACATGATTGACATTGCCACTTGCCTCGGCTGCGAACATTCCTTTTTCTCAACTGCTGTCCATCACCATAGGGCTGTGCGAGCTGCGGAGGAACCATCAGGTCATCGTACGCAGTTCGCAAAACGCAGAAGTTACCAGGGCTGCCTCAAGATTTCGGTCACCTGGTAGTATACTTCCATCAGCCAGTAGACTTCTAGTGCACAGTTACTCTCCGCGTCTTTGTGACATCAACTACCGAAACCCTTTTTTGTATAAGGTTTGAGATAGGTCCGAACCTTGAGGCTCCAGGGTCTGCGGGGATCAGGGTCCTTCGGGTACCGGGCTGGTAGGATTGACTTCGATCGCACATGGCTCCCAGTCGAGGCAAAAGGTAATGTGAGTAACGGCGATACAGGTTCGATTCTCAGAGAAAAGTATATAATGCCGTCCCGTGCTTATCCATCTGTACTTCATTGTCTGAAGACCATTCTTTGCCTTCTTCATCATGTTGAACGAAACTATTCACGACCTGCTGGTCACTGACAAGCCCAGCCTTGTTCAAGGCGCAATGTCAAATGCCTACGTGCTTCGCTGGAAGCTCGTCGGGGCCATTGTGGTCCTCATGGCTGTTACCCAGATCACCAAAATGATCTACCGGGCCCACATCGACCCTCTGCGGGCCATACCCGGACCTTGGATCAGTTCAGCAACATCAGCCTGGATCCGCTGGCAACGTTGGCATGGCAGACTGTCCTTTGAGGCAGACAAGCTCATGACAAAGTACGGACCCATCGTCAGGATCGCACCGAATCTCGTCATTCTCAACGACTCCGAGTCAGTGGAGAAGATCTTCGTCAGGAAAGATCTCGACACTTCGCCAAAATCTATTCGAGCCCTTCGTGTCGGCGGCCATGACTGGACTGTCACGTACCCTCAACATCCCATCGCGCGGCAAAGACGTCACCCCGTCATGATTGCTACTACGACAAAGAACATGAAGTTCTGGCACGATACCTTCGTGACCAACATCGAAGCCATGGTCCGTGATCTCGGAAAGACAGAGGGTCAAAAGTCGGAAGACATTGTCTACCACCTCCGCATCTGCACCCTCAAGAACTCGCAAGTCGTTATGGGCGGTACAGGTGTCGACCTCGAGTCCAGCGAATTCCCACACGTTGTCGGCGAGTACAACTTTCTCGTCGTTTGGCGTCTGTGTCTCCCAGAATGGCTATTCGCATGGCTCCAGTACAGCCCGTTCGCCCATGCGCGCTTCCGCGTACGATCCAGTGACAAGCTCTTTGACCTAGGCGCAGCGCTGTGCAAGCAGGCCAAGGAAATGGCCGAGGACTCAACCGCCAACGTCTTCAAGCTCTTCACTGACCCAGACGCAAAGTACCCCCTCGAAGATTCATGGACGGACCCGGAAATCGGCGCGGAAATGGCAGGCCAGGTACTCGCTGCTACTGAGACGACCTCATCAGCCCTCGCATTCATCTACTACGAGCTAGCAAAGAACCCAAGTCTTCAAGAAGAACTGTACGAGGAGGTTGCCGCCCACGAGGGTTACGAAGAGCTTGACTCGTTGAAGCTCCTTTGTGCATGCGTTAACGAAGGTCTGCGTTTCCGCCCACCAGTCGCTCTAACAGGTTCCCGCCTCGTACCAGAGGGTGGCATCAATGTCCTCGGCTACCACCTCCCCGCCGGCACGGTCGTCACCACACAGTCCCTCAGCATGTCTCGCCAGCGTCCCGACCTCTTCCCCGACTTCGATACCTACAACCCGCGACGCTGGCTCGTCGAGGATGAATACAGTGCTGAGCGAAAGAAGCATCTTGTTCCTTTTGGTGTAGGAGCGAGACGCTGTCCAGGAGGCAACATGGCGACGTACCAGATGCGAGTCATCTTGGCGGCTACATTCAGGGCGTTCAAGGTTGAACTTGCGCCGGAGACAACGCCAGAGGCGATGGCGCCTTTTGAGGCGAATGGATACAGGAGCAGGCACGATCGATGTGACCTGATCTTCAAGCCCAGGACCGCGTGATGTTAGGTGTTGAGGCTTTCAATACTCTATTTTCTTTTCTCTTGTCTCCTCTAGTACTTATGTCACTCCCTTGGGCAAAGCGTGCCGAGTGTATGGATGACTTTGATGAATTGGAACATATCTCATCATCTCCAATGAGCAGGATGTTCGTCTCTCATTCAAATTGCTACAGGATATACCCAAGTAGTGCTTCTGCAAGCACAGGAAGTTTGTAGAATAACGTCAAAATCAAGCGTCGCGTTACTCACATTATGGCATGACCAGATTCGCGATCCGATCCGTACAAACAATGCGTGCATCAGGTATATGATCGAAGAGATACCAGCCCCCAGCGAGGAGGAGCATTGCCGTGGTGGCTGGCGACAAGAAGATGCCTGCTAACACCGGAACAGGTAGGTGCGAGCGATGACGCGTATCCAATGACGTCATTACGTGTCTCCCGAAACACCACCACGCCAAGGTACGCACAAAGCTTCACGATGACCAGCCAAAGTCAAGACATGTCACAAACCAGGAACCTCTCTCTTGTCCTACGCTGTAACAAAGCGCACACGGCGCATGTAGGAGTACGTGGTCACATTCCAGCATCGCGGGCGATCCACAACGCGGGGACAAAGAGCTGTATGTTGCGGGGCTTCCGATAGGGCCTCGACTCGCATCTTGAAGCAGGCTTCCCATTACTCTCGGAGCAATCAGATCACTTTACAAACTCACAGATCACTCATCCAATGTCATTCGCATGGACGACTACGTCGACACCTCGGCCGCAGCCGCAGCTGCCTTTGTACCTGTCATGCCATCCGGGTCCTTATCAGCGCAAACGCCACAGCCGTACTCCCATCGCGCATCATCGTGCGTGTGATCTGCGTATGCGTTGTTTCAGACGCACCATATGCGGTACGCGGAGCTTAACGAAAGCTTGATAAAAGCTTGGAAAGCTTGGTCGCATGCTTGTAGGCCCATGATCGCGGCTGCGACAATCCGGCCGGTGTGACCGCCTGTTCCTGGTCGAGCGCTGGTGATTGGAGCGTTTGCAGTTGGGCAGGTAGGTTTGCTTCTTTCAAGGTGGGCGTGATGCATGCGTTGGTTGGAAGGCACGAAGGTATTTATGCTGCCTCGTCGTCGTTGCTTTGAGGGAAGTAATTCTTCCTTGACTTTGTCTTGTTGCATCAGTGTTGTGACAAGAATCTCGTCACCCGCATCCACAAATCCATCGAATCCAGCAACACAATCTCACCATGGCATCTCTACAACGCCTTGCGATCCAGCGTAGCCCAGCCTACAAGCCCGCTGGAGTCAAGAGCTACGTCTATGCCATGACAAAGTGTCCGTCACCTATCCCTTACATCTTACTCCACCTCCCACTACTGAACTGACACGCGTAGATGGCTTCCACCCTACAAAACCTGGCCCGTACTTCCAAGCCAAGGTCATGTCGCAGCAAGGCAAGTTCGGCCGAATCGGCGGCCGCATGCGATCACGCTACGTTCTCAAGAAGCGTAACGAAGCATCGGCACCAGGTGGTGCGCAAAGCAAAGCCGCAGCTCCAAGCGACGGCACTCCGACTGAAGGTGAAGTGCCGGCCGAAGACATACAAAACGACTCGTTGTATCTCTGCGAAGTCGGCGTTGGAACACCCGAGCAGAAGATCTACCTTGATTTCGATACCGGGTCTTCGGATCTTTGGGTATGCTGTGTTATTTGACGATTTGATCACAATGCTAAGATATACAGGTCTGGTCCACCGAGCTTCCCAAGAACATCCTAAGTTCAGCAGATGCGTCAAAGCAGCAGGTCGCTTTCGACCCCTCAAAGTCAAGCACATTCAAGAAACTCGACGGTGAGACATGGAAGATCTCATACGGTGACTCCTCGTCCGCGAGCGGCGATGTAGGCACCGATGTCGTCAACTTGGGTGGTCTCAAAGTCGAGAACCAGGCTGTGGAGCTAGCAAAGGAGCTTTCGCAGCAATTCGCCGAGGGCAATGGCAGCGGACTCCTTGGTCTGGCCTTCAGTTCCATCAACACTGTTTCTCCAACGCCGCAGAAGACGCCCGTCGACAATATCATCGCACAGAAGAGCGCTAAGGAGCAGCTTTTCACCGCGTACCTTGGTAGCTGGCGCGACACGAACGAGGCTGACAAGGGAGAAGTATGTCTTCCGTGCCGTTAACTCATACTTCTTTCTAACACACCACCAGAGTTTCTACACCTTCGGCTTCATCGACCAAGACGTCATGACCGCCTCGGGCGCGTCCGAGCCCAACTACGCCGAAGTCGATAACAGCCAAGGTTTCTGGCAGATCAAATCCACATCCGCCACCATCAACGGCCAAACCGTCGACCGCTCCGGCAACACCTCCATCATGGACACCGGCACCACCCTCTGCCTCGTCTCCGACGACCTCGTCGACGCCGTCTACAAAGCCATTCCCGGCGCCAAGTACGACCAGAGCAACCAAGGCTACGTCTTCCCTACTTCCACTGCAGCGGCCGATCTTCCTGAGATCAAGCTTGCGATTGGAGACGCCATGGTGACGTTCCAAAAAGAGGACTTGGGCTTCGCTGATGCTGGAAATGGGATGGTGTACGGAAGTATCCAGAGTAGGGGATCCATGGATATGGACATCTACGGCGACGCGGTGTTGAAGGCTATGTACGCGGTAAGTCTTTATAAGCCCTGCGCGCTTTGGTGGCATCGTGCTAATATTGCAATCTAGATCTTCGACATGAACAACGGGAGTCCGAGGTTCGGTTGGGTGCAGAGGAAGGAGAAGACGCAGAATACTGATGCGCCGCCTTCGTAGTGGACTTGGAGTGCGCTTTTCAGCAGAGAGGATGAGCTCAGATTCCTGGCTCGAGCTGAGTATGTCGTTACCCAGTGCATGATGTAGCAAGTAGCTTCAGGTTATGACATGAATGCTTCTATCGTCAATGAACAATATGCGTAATGAACACAAATGCTCATCTTCTGTCCCTTATATCACACGTTGACCTATCATAATGACTACAACACAGCCCAAGAAGGTCCATTATACTGCAAGAAAGTACGCTTCCGCATACATCGGATTCAAGTCTTGGAAAGAGAAGCACCAACCTTTGTCACGCAGGAGAGGCGGTATCTAGCAGATACTGAGGAAACCCCCATCATCTTCAGCCCCGCAGCCGTACGCAAGACCCAAGCATATGTCTACCTTACATCATACACCCATTCGACTTGCTAGAATGCAAATCCGAAACATCCAAGCGTATCCTCCTTCCCTCAACCGTCAGGTAACTCTCAACCAGCCACTCATACCACACCTTGCGGTCGTCCGTCTGCCTCCAGAAACTAACTTCGACCTCGGAGTTGGCAGGTAGCTGCATGGGGGTCTGTGTATACAAATTAGCCACCATCCTGAACTGCCTACAATCAGTGAATAACATACCTTGAGTGGGAACAAGATCGGGAACCAAGAAATCATGTCTTTGCTCTTCGCTTCCATAGTGACTGGATTCGTGCTCAACTCCACCGGGCCTTCCGAACCGCTGTACAGTACGGTTTCGAAGTACGCGCCGAGACCGTGACATACACCCGGTTCTTGAATGGGGAAAGCGATGCGGCAGTAGCGCAGGTTGTGTTCGTTTGCGCCGTCGCCGCCGCTGAAGCCACCACCGCCACCTATCGCCGAACCGCCTTTCCTGAGCGGAGATTGTGCTAGAACGGAGGGAGGAAGGGGGTGTGTGAAATCCCAGGCTGTTTCAACCTTGGGTGTGAGAGGGGCCTCGAGGTTGAAATGCTGCATCCTTGTGCCGTTGCTGAGTTGTTTGGATGCGACGGTTTCTTCGGAGGAGGTGGAGAGGTAGTCGAATTGCGTTAGCATGACGACCCATGGGATATCGAAAGCGTTGGGATCGACGCTGGTACTTCTAGTATACAGGTCGGACCAGAGCTTTGGCGTGGAGATGGGGGTGAAGTGCGCGGTGTAGCTGGAGGGTATCGATATGCCATGGGTAGGGTTCAGGACGTGTTGCACACCGTCGAGACATTCGGGCGATAGCTCGTTGTCCGCAAAAGAGCCGAGAAGCTCGCTGACAAGTATGTCGACTTTGCCGAATGTGCCGTCTGCGAGTGTTGGACCTTTCCAGGCGCGCATGTCGGTCTTAACGACTGTGACGCGTCCGCCCCAGGTTTCGATGTTGTGTCGTTGAAGCAATACGTATGCGTTAGGGTTCTTCTCGATGGCGTAGACTTGTACGGGTACACCGGAGCTTGCGCTGGCATTTAGCGCGCGCGTCACAAGCGGACCTCGACCGGATCCTACGACTGCGATCACGACAGCCCCGTTGCTAGAACTGGTTGATTTGCTCTCGGCATGCCAGTCTTTCAGCGCCTGAGCGATGGCGCGCTCGTACCACGCGTACTTGATTGGATCTTTTTCGAAGACCTCGTATGTAATAGATTCGAGGTTGTCCGTCAGGGGTTGCAGTGGGCTCTGCAGATAGTCCTGAAATCCACCGCCAAACCGTTCGATTTGGCTCTTAGGAGGCTGATTGCGCTGCAAGTATCGCATGTAGCTCAAGTGAGGAGTCGGGTCGTTGTTGCTACTGCTCTTCTTGGGAAGCTTCTTTGCGATCTCGGCTGCTTCAGCTGGAGTTGGTGCGACTGTTCCCGATGATCCTGGGCTCGGTGCGTCTTCTACAGTGCGAGGGGATAGGTGGCCTGTGGAGTATGACATTATCATATCCGGGTCATCAATACCTGGTAGTTGGCCAACATCCGAGATGAGTAGCCAAGGCCCGCGCTGCAGGCGCATGCAACGGAAGATGAAAACCTGGTGTGCTTTGGACAGGACGTAAGATTGACGAGCGTTGACTAGGAAAGAGGAAGCGTGCAAGTTGAGAAGTCGTACAGGCTCAGAGAACCAACGGGACTGGACAGCCAAGGATGGCAGGCGACGCGGCATATCGAGCATGACTGCTAACCTATTATGGTACTTGCAGATCGATCGAATGGTGTTC